TAAGAGAAAACAGTTAAAAATCTATTGACAATCTAGTTTTCAGATAATTAGTCTAAACACAGAGCTATGAAGAAGTGTCGTGCTTACTTACATTCATTCATTTATTTTATTTTCAGCTTAGTCTCTTTATTATTCAGGGGTCGCCACAGCGGAATGAACCACCAACTTATCCAGCATATGTTTTACACAGTGGATGCCCTTACAGCTGCAACCCAGTACTGGGAAACATACATACACACTCATTCACACTCACACTCATACACTACAGTCAGTGTAGTTGATCAGTTCTCCTATAGCGCATGTGTTTGGACTGTGGGGGGAACCGGAGCACCCGGAGGAAACCCACACCAACACGGGGAGAACATGCAAACTCCACACAGAAACACCAACTGACCCAGCCGAGACTCAAACCAGAGACCTTCTTGCTGTGAGGCCACACTGCTACACCACTGCGCCACCCTGTGTTCATTTGAAGCCATTTTGTCTTTCCTAAAGCTCACGTAAGCGTTCATATTTCAGGTATGATTCTCTCAGTGCACTGGTGGATAATCAGACCTGTTTCTAATCTGCATCTTCCTAAACTCTCTGTTACTCGTGTGATTGGGCTGGTTATTTAGTGCTGTGCAGATGCTGGAGGTCAGAGCTCGTCTCCATGAGGAATGTTGAAGTACATAAACCTCTCGCGCTTCACCATCCGGCTTTATGAAACACACAACCAGCCAACAAACGCAAACAAATCAGACAAACAAACCTGCTCATCTGGAGCGCATTTGGAGGAATTCCAGCCCGGATCAGCATATGGAAAACACAGCAGCGCAGACGGAAAATCCCCATTGATTCCCCATTATTAATGCTGCAATGTCGGAACTCAATCTGGAGCCAGAGATACTGTAAAACAGACTCCGACTATATTTAACACGCGTGCACCAAACGTCATCATCTATATATACTTACACATGCTTCAGTCCAAGCGTTCCTCCAATCCTCTTTAAATCTTCTTCATTATCAAGGCTGTAACGCCAGAACTCAATATTGTGTTTGGAAAAAACTAACTTTAGTGCAACGTATAGAGAATATCTCAGACAAATTCACTCATTCTTCTAGTCTAACAGATACATTAGAGCAA